CTCCCATGGGCATCGGCACCGGAGAAAGTCGCATCCGCAGCTTTTGATCCCTGCTGAGGGCTCCAGGCTCATCTGCTGCCTTGGTGGACTCGCTGGTATCCAGGTTGTTGCCCAGCTCGGCCTCCGTTTGTTGCGGCTGGCATGTCACCGCTTGCAATGCGACCGTTCATGGGTTCCTGGACTCTAGACAGCGACGGTCGATGCCCCCGCGGCATGTACTTTGGGCATCGTGCTCAAGTCAAGAAGCTAGCTCAGATCACGGGAACCATGCAAGTACAAACTTCTTTGTCACGACGTTTGACCAGCTCCCATTCCCATCAAGGCGGACTCTCTTCTCGCAGAGTGTCCGCGTAAGGCTTGAGATCTACTCTGACCTCGTGAATTGCTCATTGGGATGCTGCTTCTTCTCTTGCACTGCACAAGGCGCAACACAAGCAAAAACAGTCTCAGGCAAGAGTGGGCTCGATACTACATGATCTGACGGGAAGATGAACGATCTGGCAAAAGGCCAATGGATGTATGGAAACCCGCTGTTGGCTGAGGCGTTTTATGGACGCAGCCCAGTTCTAGCGAAACAACGCCTTCTGCTGCTGCTTCTTGCTCTTGAGGGCACTCTTCTTGCCAATGTCCTGCGACACATGGCAAGGACTGAAAGAGATTTCTGCCACCAAGGCAGTCGGATGGACTATTCACTATTCGCTTTCACCGCGCCTTCTGCTCAGCTGCCTGCTCGTTTTTGAGACCTTGACCACATCCGCGAGTTTCTGTGACTTTTTCGGACCGAGACCGGGAATAGTAGATCATAGTAGGTCAGTGCCCCCAAGACCCTGAGCCTTAATCCTAACCCCATGGTGCAGAGGAGAGTCCCCAAACACCTAGGTCTGGGCATCCCTACCAGTCAGGGTGGTCTCGTAGGCGGCTTTCTTTTCAAACTCGGCCTTCTCCAAATCGGCCTGTGTCAGGCTTGCGTCTCCCAGCTTGGGCCCAGCAGGGCCCAAACCATATTCCAGCATATCATACTATAGCATATCGTATTAACAGTAGCAGATGACATGATAGCATATTATATTAATATTGCTCTATTGCATCATGGCTCCTTCTCTTGGATAAACTTGTCCTCCAGCTCTTTCAGCAGCTCCACGACGCCTGCGGCGACCCGCGGTGAGGTTCATCGTTTGCCGTGTGTTAAGGCTCGCCTTTGGACTGGAACTCGTAGCCATCTACCTGCTTCGGAATGGTTGAGGGTTTAGGGGTGAGGGCTTAGGGGGTTATAGGGTTTAGGAGTTTCGGGATTAGGGTTTTGGGTTTAGGGTTTAGGGGCTTAGGGGCTTAGGATTTACAGGGTTTGAAGCACGCGAGCTCATGCGAGAGGCACGGACTTTTTGGCATTTGCAGCCCCACCTCCGGCTTCTTGGCAGATTCGACAAGGGCCGTCACGGCTGTCGTCATCTGCCAGGGTGTCGATGGCACTGTTTTTGCTGGATCTCTCGTTCACATGGGGAGTGTTCATTCAGTTCGGCTCAATCGGTATGCTGTGGACTTCGAAGGCCTCTCGGCCGGGAGCTTTTGTGCGCAAGTCCTGGATGGTGAACCTTGCGCAGTCGGAAGATCTGGCTCTCAGTTCCCCGACCCAAAGCATGCCAAGGCCAGGGCTCGTCAAGCAGCGCGCTTGCCTGGCGCCGCGAGACGCGAGGAGCGCTACGGCGGCTCCGGGCGGTGCAAGGACCCTCGGCCGGGCCTTCGCCTTCTCCGGCTTGGCTTGCTTTCGGTCGTAGGCCTACGAGCTGAGGGAGATGGGGCAGGTCTCCGACATGGCGTCGCTAGGAGTCTCGATCTGCCCTCAAACCTGATTCTGTCTTGAGAACCACTCGACCTAGTTGAAGCTACTCTGAAAATGATGCCGATCGATGAAAAGTGGTGCATCTGCGACATCTCACAGATTGCAAACGATGTGCCAAAGGAAAACCGCCCTCTCAAAACTACAAGTATTAGAGTGTGTTGAGGAGTCCTTGTTTATCATGTTCCAATTAACTTGCCGTACCAGTGATCGTGCACGCCTGCATGTCTTTGCCCAACTCTCACGGTCTCTTTGGCCTGCTCCTTCATCACACCGATGGCATTGCCCAGGGCAGAAATCGACTCTCCGTAGTCCTTGTGACACGGTGAAAGCCGAGAGCAGCACATGAGATCACTCCACGTCAACAAGAGCAACGGGGCGCCTTCAAGATGGCTTGGAAGTCCTCATTCTCTTTCTTGCGAATCTGGCACGGCAGTCAACCAAAGGGGCACCGGGGTGTGGACGCAAGAAATTGCAGAAGTATTCTGGACAGCGAAGAGCCGAAACGCAGACACTCTTCACCCGACAGTTGTACCGTTGCACACGATGCGGTCTTAGCTTCGACTCAACATCATACCAGGCAGTATCCTCCCTGGCTTCCCGACAAGCACCTGCGTTATGTTCTCCTGCTGCGCTACCAAGGCTGCAACGTTGCCCTGGTGCCCTGCGAACATCGGGATCATCAGGGCAATGTATGCTGAATCAAGGCAGATGACTGCACTCATCTCCGGTTTACTGTTGCATGACAACCACTTTCTTGACATCATCAAGCAAACCTGATTCACGACTACTGCGACAAGGCCAAGCGCAAAACCAATGTCTCCGGATCTGCTGCCGACCCCAACATCCTGACCCAGGACGGCACGTCTTGCATCGTCTTCGAAAGCCTTCATTCTCCGCAGTCAGCCGGTCGATGGTGGCCGATGTCTTTGAGATGTCGGCCTAGCAAAGCAATGCACGAATAGCATCAAAGGAATCAGATGCCGTGCAGTATGCCGTTGGGGAGGATTCCTGCAACGGTGCTGCGCCGGATAAACGTACGTAGGAAATCCCTAAGATCAATCCATCCATGGGAAGAAGAAATGTTGCATAGAGACTTCTCAGGTGGCCTTCAAGCCATCGATGGCATCTGCTGTGTCCGAAATAACCTGCGACTTTTTCGCCTGGCATCGTAATTGGCGGGTGTTGGGATGCAATCCGATGCTTTGGGACTTCACCGGCTGCAATCTGTGCTTGCGGAGTGCATTGCAAATCAAACATGGAAGCCAAACAGCCGGCTACTTCGCCCTTGTGCATCCTGCCGGCAGACCTGGGTCATCTCGCACCACTTGGAGTACTTGGCATACTGGACCTGAAGGGAATACCAAGGTGTCAAGACTTCCGTTGGCTTTTCCTTCCCTAACGAGAAGCTTTTCGCGAGATCGCACAGCGCGCTTCAAACTGCCGGGCCTTCTCTGCCTGAATCTCCTTCTTGCCTTCGGCAACCATGGTCTGCCTGGCACAAACGAGTAGAGAGGCATACTGAGCCTTTGGAAGCCCAAAGAAGTATTGCCGGTGGGACATTAGTTCCACGACCTTCTGAACCGGAGAGGCTCCCGAGGAGTAGTCCATGTGGTAGGAAGCCCCCAGCCTCACATCCCCGCAGGCTCCCCAGCGCAAAGCTGCCCTAATGGGCGCACTCGCCACGGATTCGCGCTGATCTCTTAGCTTGGGCGCTGGCCCCATGGTGAAGGCCTGACGCAATGCCACGGCAGCACTAAGTGCATTTCTCACGGGGCGAAGCATCCCAAGAGTTTCAGGGCCCGACTGAGGCACTAAGCACCGCATTCCGGAAGCACTTCATTTGGTCTGACGATAACGCCTTGCCAAAGCGGAAAATCACGGACTGTGATTGGGATAGGCAGCCCTCAGTGTTCACAGCCGGCACAAACTGCACGATTCTCGGTGCTGGGCACTCCCAAGAAGGGTCGTGAGGTGCGTCGGGAGGAGTTTCCCCCCCTCTTGGGCCACATGCCAAGAACAGCTTCTCGGAATGGCGAATGCCGCAGCTTGATGATGTTGGTGTTGTTGTTGCTGCTGCTGCTGCTGCTGCTGGAGCTGCTGCTGTCGCTGTGATGCTGTTGTTGTTCTTCTCGTTGCTGCTGCTATTGCTGTTCATAATGACATAGTGATATTGCCAATTTTGTCCTCTTCTCTATTGCTGCTACTGCCACTGTTGCCGCCGTTGCCGCCGTTGCCGCTGTTGCTACTGGTGCTGCTGGTGCTGCTGGTGCTGCTGGTGCTGCTGGTGCTGCTGGTGCTGCTGGTGCTGCTGGTGCTGCTGCTGTTGGTGCTGCTGATAGATTCGTTGCTAATAACAATATTGTCGCCACTAGTGCTGCCAGTGGTTGTGAGCCTACCTGCTATACTCGCTACATTTGCCAGTGTCGACGACGGGCCGATGTCGTGCCCCGAAGCATCCCAAACTGTTTGGCTTCGCTCTCTTGCAACTGTCTGTTGAGTTCCACGTGTTGTTGTCGTTGTCGTCGTCGTGACTGTCGTCGTCGATGGCGTTGGTCAACGTCGTCATCGCCATCGTTGTTGATACCGTGACAGTGGTTGCCGTCAGCTATATTATATTCGTCTTCGTCGTCGTCAGTGTCGTCGGAGTCATCGGCGCCGTTGCTTTCGTTGCTCTCTCTCTCTCTCTCTGTCGTGGTTGCTGTTGCCTGTCGACGTCCAGGTCGTTTTGGAGTTGTCATCGTGTTCTGTTTGACTTTCCTTGTGGTTGGTCAGATTGTTGCTGTTGCTGTTGCCGTTGCCGTTGCTGTTGCGATTGCCCTCGCAATGGTTGTTGCCTGTTGCTGCTACTTTTTTCTGATAATTCTTCTGTTGATGTTGCTGTCGTTGCTGGCGTTGGCCGTGTTGATGGTGTTTGGTGGTGCTGTTGGTGTTGGCAGTGTTGGCAGTGTTGGCGGTGTTGGCGGTGTTGGTGGTGGTGTTGGTGAAGCGGCGGCGATTGCCTGTTGTCTTCCCTTCTCATCATGCTCGTGAACCTATTTCATTGTCATTGTCGAATGCCCGTGAAGCCCAACCTCGCGGTCCTATGACCATAGAAACACCTGACCTGCTTTGATCCTGAACTCAGCCGGAAGGATCGCCAAACGAGCTGCAGTTTTCCTCTTCACATCGGAGCAAATCCCTGAGGAGACTTCCGTCTCTGCTGGCGCCCCGTCTGCACATTGGCAGGCCTTGGTCTGACGTAACGAGACGTCCATGCTGGCCTGGGCTGAACCTCCAAGATTGGATCAACCGCACACTTGCGAGCAAAGCACAGCAAGGCCAGCAGGTCGTGGACCATTGCGGAAGCAATCTTGCAGCTTGTTGCCTCCTGAGCAACATGAGGCGTCGATATATTTCAATACGCCATGTCGTGTTTCTTGCGCCGCATCGCTGCAAGCAAGACGCATGTCCAGATGCAGCCGAGCATCTCCCGAGACTTTCACCGAGAGCGGCTTGCCAGTGCCTTGCCCACCCAGGAGCGAAACCTCCGCTCCGCCTTGGCTTACGCAGCCGAGCAGGTGCCTTCCGGATAATCTTGGCTGGTGCTTTTGCGTCTTAAGATCCCAACATCAGACTTCGCCGAACAGTGTTCCAGCACGGAAAAATTGAAACTTGCATCCAAGCTGCTGTTCTGCTGAATCCACTTCAAATTCGAGGCATGTTTGCCCCCAGTGACTCTGTTTGTCGTCACCCGCAGGTTGTGCCCACGTGGCACGCGGAAGATGGCCTCCTAGGCATCAACGGCAACACACTCCCTCTCGACAACTGCTTCAAGCAGCTATCTGCTGTCTGAGCATGCTTTAAAAGCACGAACTGCCCACAAGCGTGTTCTTGCACTGCTGCTTGTACAGTATACCAGTGTTGAAATGAACGGACCGCGCCGTATCGCAGAACATCGTGTGAATAGCACTCCCACGCCGACGCTCGATGCTCACAATAGACGACTAACATCCTGAAAACGTGCTGGACCATGACAGTCCATGAAGCAGACGCCTTCCTTTGCCTCATTACCATCGTCGCCCACATCCTTGTAGTCCTCATGCTGATTTCATCATCTAAACCCCGCCCAAAAACCTTCTCATCGTCGTCGTGATCCGCATCGTCGCCATCAGCATTGTCATCGTCCTCGTTCATCCCCCACACGTCGGATACGAGGCTCCAGTAACTAGACCACAACGGTCTCCAGGGTGGCGCCGCGGACACGCAGGCTGTCGTTTTCGCGATTCGGGCCCGAAGCTCCAAGAACGCCATTGACAGTCTCGGATGACGCCTCCACAAAAAAAAGCAACGTTGTCCTGAATGCAGGCCCAGCGTCCTGGTGTCCGCGCTTCACCTCGTCGCGGTTGTTCGCTCGAAGCGAGCGCAGGGCCACCAAAGCCGCACTCAGCTCCGCCTCCTCGCGCGAAGATGAAGGTGCACCTGGCGAGGCGAACAATCCAACACATGGGAGCCTGACAAGTGGGGGTCTGGCACCTGCATGAAAAGTTCCGCCGATTGCCACTCTTGCATGGTGCAGCCCGTCCGTCTCTTCAACGGTGTACTCCACCAACGGTGGCACGAAGCTCGGATCCAGAAGGAACTCCTTTAGAGTCACCTGGAGGGCAGGATGAGTGCAGGCCGCAATTCGCAGCCGAACTTGCAACCAGCGCGAGCTCGCCTTCCTCGGAGGGCGGCCCAACTTCGATGCGGCGGCTTCCAGCTGCCCATGCGCCCTTTGCATGGCCTTAGCCTGGCTCGCAAGCTTTGCCTAGCATGTTCTAGTGCTTCTCGGGGCTTCTTTGCAGGGATCCGCAGGTCCTCGGGGCCAGGCCTGATCGGCAAGGAAGGTCGTGATTTCAGTCGAGCCTGCACTGCAGCTTTTGAACATTCTGGGCGTTCACCTAACACTCCAAGAACACATGTGTTAACCGTGTTGATGTTATGACCCCGTGTGCATGATGCGCACGTCGACTATCGCAGCTAGCCCAGACTGCGTTGGTGTCAAACTGCCACCTCAACCTCTTAAGACAACTGCACACGCCTGAGGTTTGAAGTGCAAGTGCCAGGAGCGCCCAGGACACTGCAAGCACCTCACGATGAGCGATGATTGGGACAGCCAAGACCTTCACTTACATCTCCAAATGCCTGGGGCCTCTGGAAGAGAGACACTGCAAGAAGTCAATGACCTGTTGCTGCGCCCAATTAAAGCTGAGGCCTCCGCCAGTTTGACGAGCTGACGGCGACTTCGCTGTCGCAGCTGCACCATTCCGACTACGCAACGAACGGAGATGCAAGTTCAATCCCCGCAAATGGGCCCTACCTAAGCTTTACTGCCAAAGCTTCCCGTATCCGATCGGTGTCCATACACGAAATGCTGCCAAACACTCTAGCTTCGAGCACACTGGAGCAGCGGTGCGCAGGGTCCTTGCTATTCACTACACTTGCCCGTGTCGATGCCTGCCCACGCCTGGCCAGTGAAGCCCAACCTCGCGGTCCTATGACCATAGAAACACCTGACCTGCTTTGATCCTGAACTCAGCCGGAAGGATCGCCAAACGAGCTGCAGTTTTCCGCTTCACATCGGAGCAAATCCCTGAGGAGACTTCCGTCTCTGCTGGCGCCCCGTCTGCACATTGGCAGGCCTTGGTCTGACGTAACGAGACGTCCATGCTGGCCTGGGCTGAACCTCCAAGATTGGATCAACCGCACACTTGCGAGCAAAGCACAGCAAGGCCAGCAGGTCGTGGACCATTGCGGAAGCAATCTTGCAGCTTGTTGCCTCCTGAGCAACATGAGGCGTCGATATATTTCAATACGCCATGTCGTGTTTCTTGCGCCGCATCGCTGCAAGCAAGATGCATGTCCAGATGCAGCCGAGCATCTCCCGAGACTTTCACCGAGAGCGGCTTGCCAGTGCCTTGCCCACCCAGGAGCGAAACCTCCGCTCCGCCTTGGCTTACGCAGCCGAGCAGGTGCCTTCCGGATAATCTTGGCTGGTGCTTTTGCGTCTTAAGATCCCAACATCAGACTTCGCCGAACAGTGTTCCAGCACGGAAAAATTGAAACTTGCATCCAAGCTGCTGTTCTGCTGAATCCACTTCAAATTCGAGGCATGTTTGCCCCCGGCGACTCTCTTTGTCGTCACCCGCAGGTTGTGCCCACGTGGCACGCGGAAGATTGCCTCCTAGGCATCAACGGCAACACACTCCCTCTCGACAACTGTTTCTAGCAGCTGTCTGAGCATGCTTTAAAAGCACGAACTGCCCACAAGCGTGTTCTTGCACTGCTGCTTGTACAGTATACCAGTGTTGAAATGAACGGACCGCGCCGTATCGCAGAACATCGTGTGAATAGCACTCCCACGCCGACGCTCGATGCTGACAATAGACGACTAACATCCTGAAAACGTGCTGGACCATGACAGTCCATGAAGCAGACGCCTTCCTTTGCCTCATTACCATCGTCGCCCACATCCTTGTAGTCCTCATGCTGATTTCATCAGCGAAACCCCGCCCAAAAACCTTCTCATCGTCGTCGTGATCCGCATCGTCGCCATCAGCATTGTCATCGTCCTCGTTCATCCCCCACACGTCGGATACGAGGCTCCAGTAACTAGACCACAACGGTCTCCAGGGTGGCGCCGCGGACACGCAGGCTGTCGTTTTCGCGATTCGGGCCCGAAGCTCCAAGAACGCCATTGACAGTCTCGGATGACGCCTCCACAAAAAAAGCAACGTTGTCCTGAATGCAGGCCCAGCGTCCTGGTGTCCGCGCTTCACCTCGTCGCGGTTGTTCGCTCGAAGCGAGCGCAGGGCCACCAAAGCCGCACTCAGCTCCGCCTCCTCGCGCGAAGATGAAGGTGCACCTGGCGAGGCGAACAATCCAACACATGGGAGCCTGACAAGTGGGGGTCTGGCACCTGCATGAAAAGTTCCGCCGATTGCCACTCTTGCATGGTGCAGCCCGTCCGTCTCTTCAACGGTGTACTCCACCAACGGTGGCACGAAGCTCGGATCCAGAAGGAACTCCTTTAGAGTCACCTGGAGGGCAGGATGAGTGCAGGCCGCAATTCGCAGCCGAACTTGCAACCAGCGCGAGCTCGCCTTCCTCGGAGGGCGGCCCAACTTCGATGCGGCGGCTTCCAGCTGCCCATGCGCCCTTTGCATGGCCTTAGCCTGGCTCGCAAGCTTTGCCTAGCATGTTCTAGTGCTTCTCGGGGCTTCTTTGCAGGGATCCGCAGGTCCTCAGGGCCAGGCCTGATCGGCGAGGAAGGTCGTGATTTCAGTCGAGCCTGCACTGCAGCTTTTGAACATTCTGGGCGTTCACCTAACACTCCAAGAACACATGTGTTAACCGTGTTGATGTTATGACCCCGTGTGCATGATGCGCACGTCGACTATCGCAGCTAGCCCAGACTGCGGTGGTGTCAAACTGCCACCTCAACCTCTTAAGACAACTGCACACGCCTGAGGTTTGAAGTGCAAGTGCCAGGAGCGCCCAGGACACTGCAAGCACCTCACGATGAGCGATGATTGGGACAGCCAAGACCTTCACTTACATCTCCAAATGCCTGGGGCCTCTGGAAGAGAGACACTGCAAGAAGTCAATGACCTGTTGCTGCGCCCAATTAAAGCTGAGGCCTCCGCCAGTTTGACGAGCTGACGGCGACTTCGCTGTCGCAGCTGCACCATTCCGACTACGCAACGAACGGAGATGCGAGTTCAATCCCCGCAAATGGGCCCTAAGCCTTACTGCCAAAGCTTCCCGTATCCGATCGGTGTCCATACACGAAATGCTGCCAAAAACTCTAGCTTCGAGCACACTGGAGCAGCGGTGCGCAGGGTCCTTGCTATTCACTACACTTGCCCGTGTCGATGCCTGCCCACACCTGGCCCGATGGCCCAAGTTGGCGGTCCCATGAACCTTGAATCCCCGGACTTGCTTTGATCCTGAACCCAGTCGGAAGGATAGTCAAAGGGAGCTGTCGTTTTTGTACGCTTCACATTGCAGATCCTCCGGTGGGAGACGAAAGCGTCTCGGCTGCCGCGGCTGGTCGGCCTAGGTCATGGGCGAATACGTGGGCTTGGGGCAGAGGGGGGGGGGGGCATTCGCCAGGCCAGGTGTTGAAAGCAAATGCTATCAGCTGCTTCCAGCTACCCAAAGAATCTCCCTGAAGTTGCGACGCGAGCGCGGAAAAGAAGCGACGAGGTTGCCAGGAAGGGATGCAGAGCGCTCTAGTCTTACGCCCGGGGAAACAGCGCACGGCTCTCCTGGGCAAGACGACTAACGCAGCTTTCAAGAAAACCTCGAAGTCAAGCCTGAACACTCGAAAACCCCAGCACCGCAAGCTCTGTACGCTATGTACGTCAGTCCCTGCTTCCAGAAGATCAATTCAGCGTACCTGCCTTTACCTGAAAGAGGAAGCCAGAAAATATCTGCTGTGCTCAGTAAAGAACTCTCACGGCGCGTCCCACGCGCGCTCACAGGCATCCTTGTGCTTGACCCAAAGCATACTGAATGGCAGGCTCTCTTCCGCCCTTCCATCAGGCAAAATGTCAAAGAAGTTGTACGTCAAGTTCATGAGGTCCATTCCTCGCACATATGTGCTGTAGGTGTGGAAGATCTTGTCCTCCTCTTTACGGAAGACCGAATATCCCGGGTACTGCTTCATGGAGGGTTCTTTGTCGTAGTTGTAGCTTCGAGTCTTGGCCTTGATGTCATCATCCGTGAACTCCACATTGAAGTCGCGGCTAAAGTCGGAGCCCTGCGAGCTGTAGAAGGGAAACGTCCAGCCTTTTTGAGAGGCTGTCGCTTGCAGCTTCTCATCAGCTGCCGCCCCTACAACTACGAAGCCCGTTCTTTGATGAAGGTGCGGGAGAATGCCAGAGTACGCATCGGCCCACCAAGAGCAACTGGGGCATGGTTTCTCCCAGCCTGGCTCGAACATGAAGTGCACGACAATAAGGTTGCCTGTTGGATGCGTGCACATGTCAGACAACTTCACTGTTTTACCATTCCGCGTGAAGCTGTAGTCCTTTGTCACCTCTCGCCAGGGCATCTCCATGCGCATTTTGTTGAGCTCATCCTTCTTCTTGGTGAACTCCTTCTCAGCCTTCAGCAGCTTCTTTCTCGCTTCCAGCCAAGCCTCCTCGTCAACGGGCGCTGCCCGCTTGGACATGGGCCCAAAAAGGAGCCTGAAGTTCTATGCAACTCTGCGCTGCGAGACCTTGTGCAGACATATGGCAGTGCAAGTTGCCGAAGACTACATACGTGATACGGTGCACTGAATACTATGAACTCCTTTCCCCAGGTACGATGTTCCACGACCAGCAGGCTGCGTAATACTGTATCATGTACACTCAGAGCCAGAATCTACAATATCACATACTAGATACTACAGCCTGGGCTACCGGACACTCCTGGGAGAGCATACAAGAGCTGAGTGTTGGAGACCCTGATTGCGAAGACTGCGGCAGGAAGTGGCTCAGGCCTGTGCAGCGACTCGAAGAGACGAATGCCTCGGGCAGAGGGAAGCGGGGAAAGCCCAGAAGTCAAACCCGCGGACGTACCGGCACTCCCTGGGTGGATGCAGTACTGCTTGGGGGCTTCTTGGCCTCAGGCGGTTAAGAAGATTTTGCGTTCCTCCTGGTCCTCCTGCGACGCCATCTTGGGCCACAGGCCGCAATGCACTCGTGAGCAACTCCTGATCATGTGCGCCGCATCAGAACTATGCAGTATCAGATATCGCGTGCTTTCAGATCCATGCCCCCACTCAACAGCCACTTTGGTCAGCAAAAACAGCTGCAGGCCTTGGTCGACACCCCGCGCAGCATCCATCATTGATATTTTCTGTGGCATAAAAGCTGGGCTCATGAATCAGTAGCTATGGTAGTTACCGCTTTTGCAAGAACACAGACACGGCAACTGCATGCGTCATGTGTGTCATGAACCTGTGCCTCTACTTGTCAACGGTTGAGCTGTCCGAGCCCGGAGGACAAGGCGTGGTACAGGTTTGGGGCTGTCGGATTCATAGACATTAACAAGGGACCATCACGGCTACATGGGCGGAAGCTGTCGTGTTGCTTCGGCCCCAAGCAGCACAGCTGCTGAATGCAACCGGACGATGTGGCAGCAAGTCTCTGCCCGTTTTGCCTGCTGCCCGCCATACAACTGGTCGCCTGGTTCTGCAAGGTGCCTACAACCGTGATGGGCAACGCGGCTGTCTTCTGGCAAACCGCCTGGCACTGCATTGCGCCGTAGCTGACGAAGTATGACAACGCTCCGATGAACAAGCCTTTTGATAGCCCCAGCAATCGTCGAATGCTTCCGACGATAGCTGGACAAAGTTCGGGTGCCACCAAAGACGTTTCATCGGCCGAGAAACCCTTCCAATCCTGTTTCTGCCCTTCCTGCATCAGAGTGGCGCAAGATGGCGCAAGCAAGAGCTGTGGAGCCATGAACAGTGATCTTCTTTGGCAATCTTCTTCTATACGAAACTTTCCTCGACGCTGACCTTTGCCCCAGATCTCGTATTGGTTCGGAGGCAGTACGCCGTCATGACAGCGTTTTGACGGTGGTGGTGCCCAGCAAAGTTTCTCGGTGACCCGTGCTTCTCTCACGGCACCCCCGCTTCCAAGCGCCGAGAGGATCTTGCAGCCCTGAGAAGCTCCGCGTAACGGCCATGCCGTTCCTGAGCTTTCGTTAAGATCACATAACGCAACATAAGCAAAACAGAATAGAATAGAATAGAACAGCAGAGAAGAGAAGAGAATCTCTTACAACACCATATAACATGACGCGCTTTTCAAGGCCCAAACTACTGCCTATCAGCCGAGGCTCGCTCACAATCCTCTGCTTTTTCATCAAGTCAATCTGAATGGACTCGTTTGCTGGTGTCCACGACGCAGAAGCCTCGCGTGACCACAATTGTCAGCTGCTTGCTCGCAGGAGGCTCTAAACCCTCCGTGTGTTGCTGTCCAAAGGGGAGCCGATGTTTTTATGGGCTGGTTTGCTGGTCGTGCGTCTGCATTTCTGATGCACTCCTAGAACGGTGGTGAGACCACGTCAGTATTCTTGAGCGTTGGGAATAAACCCCAGCAAGCCGTGCAGAAATCAAGATCGCAAGGATATATCGGCAAGAGAGAAAATCATGAACAGAGCTCAACACACTCGCAGGAACTTGCGGAATAGACTGTTACAACAAACACAACTGTGCCGACGAGGCTCCGCAGTCGGCGATCGCCACGGCCCTGGTCCGGCTTTCCGAACCTAGCAGGCCAGCAAGAACCGCTTGAAGCAAAGATGGGATGCTGGATCCTCAACTCCTTTCGCTTCTGCGACGCAACGATCACAAACATTGCTCGCCAGTAACAAACTGCTGGTCGAAGTTGCGGTTGCCCACGACAGTTGAAAGGAACAATTGTCACTTTAACTACCCTGATGCCTAAACACGAAGGATCAGAGCTGGCCCACCTCCTCTCCCACGAAGACTTTCGCAAAGCGCAGCTTCGTCTCTGGCACGTTGATGATTTGGCCGTCTCCCATACCTTGGCGGCACTCTCTGCAGGAGATTATCTTGTTGGTCCGATGCATGATCAGTACGACTCGCAAATGGCGACAAATGTAAGCCACTGCGATGAAGGCGCCATACGCCTCGAAAACGGTATCCATGAGAGCAGCCCGGGATCTTGCTGACCTGTTCCCGCACAGCACCGTGGGAAATTTCTGTCAAGGAACAGAACCGAACATCGGACTGTCATGAACCTTCCACGCACCCGGCGTGCGGCCGCAAGGTCTGCAAAGACACCGACTCCACGCGAAGCGGCAGCCGGCTCCACCTCAGTTCTCAAAGCTTGTGGAAGTCAAGACTACAATCTTTCAGAATGCAGCTCCGCGGCACAGCTGTTGGGCTGCAAAGCCGTCTCTCCATCGAGACGTGAATTGAACTCCGGCGCGCCCGCAGGACTGCGGCGTGCAGGGAGAAAGAAGCGGGTCCTGCATCTGCAAAGCCCCGGCGAGCAAGTCCGAGTCAAAGCAGAGCAGAGCCGCAGAGCAGACGGAGCAGGGAGCCGGAACTAAACAGAAACGATCACTCGTGTTTTTCCCTTCCCGGCTTCCCGGCTTCCCGGCCTGGCGAGCCTCTGCCGTGCTTGCAAGTCAGTGCCCTCCTGGAAAGTCTGGCCCTGTCGGCCCTGTGTCGAACTTCGACAAGACATGGCCTCGGCGCGGGTGAAATCAGCTACCACGCCCCTGCCACCGCTTGCTTTGTCTACTTTGATGACATCATGGTCGATCGTAGCAGCGCTGTACCGTCGGCTCTGCTAGCTGCGGGCCAAACACCAGTCTCATCTTCTCCCCCGCATCTAGGGGTGGCATCTGGCGCAAGACATGTTCGACCCGCAAGCTCCTCAGCTGCTTGGACTTGGACAAACATCTCTTCCCCGATTGCAAAGTGCCATGTGCCAAGGCGCTCTTGAAAGGATCGGTCGAGCTCAGCAGCCGAGGGCAGGGCAAGTGCCTTCGGAAAATCGTTTAGGACATCGGCCTACGGACGTTCTCAGTTCACCGAAGGCTCAAGGCTAAGGTCGATCCTGGAGCGGTGGAGCCGGGTCCGTCATTCCCCAAAGAAAGAGATCGTCCAACACACCAGTACTGGCAATTCGCGTCGCCATGTTGGCCATGAGAGTCTAGGTGCAGGCACGGCAAAACCCGACTCAATCCTGACCGTTTGTCAAGTTTGTCGGTCGCGAAAGCTGTAACGAGGGTAACGAGGGGCATGAAAAGGAATGGGATCTTTGTCCACTACAAAGCTTCTGGGCCACTACGCTGTGGTGCTGAAGAGTTCAGCTTCCTCACTGGAGGACCCGGGTGTGGGCTGGATTTGATTTGGCGGTCGATTCAGTCTTGTTTTCCTGCTCAACGCTTCGGCCTGATCTTGGTGAAACGTCTCAGGAAAGAGGAGCAGAAAGAGGCCGCGGAACTCATCTGCGCCCTTAGCAGGCTGCGGGCTTAGGCTTCAAGGGTTGCTCTGGCCCTTCTCGTTGTGACGAAAACCCGTTTCTCGCGCAAACCGGATCTGAGGAGCATGCTGCCCTTCTTGCCCCTGGACTTCTGCTGATGCATCTTCCTCGTGCCAGCTCGCGTGCAGGAACCAGTGATCTCTGTTCACACGCTCGCAGGGTCCTCTTCACAGCTCGTTCGGAGGTGCCCTCGTCCTTCCGGCAGCCCACGCATACGATCAACAAAACATGTAACATGTGCGCCTGTGGCCGTAGCATCTGTGGCACGGATTTCGCCATGGAGCTGCACAGCCAACATACACAAGTTGCGGTGGGGGCAAGGAAGGGTTCGGAGAAGGCTTCTCTGTCAGCAAAGTCGAAATTCCGATATCAAACCAAGTGCAATGGATGCTCCTGCTCCCTCAGCTCGAGCTCAGTGCTTCGGAGCGCCTCCAGCACAGATATTACCCAAAGGAGAAGCCTGCTGAAAAGACTGAGGCTGTCAGCCTCGAGCACGCGCTCGTGGCTGGCTTTCACCTTCGTGTCCACCAGCTCGTTGAATTCCTGCAGCAGGCGAACGGCGAATCATAATTAGTCTGAGTCCTGTGTGGGTTTGGCACAAACTTGCACAAACTCGTCATGCAATTACACCCACTCCGCGTACACACTGGCACCCTTGTCTTGCTAGTGCATCTCAGGTCGCTGTCCTCCAGCTTCTTGCCAAGGAAATGCTCAACTCGCTGGAAGAGCTCCACGTCATACTGGGTGACCTTAGCCAGGATTTGCCACTTCTAGGGTAGATTCCAAGGGCTGCGATGCAAGCTTCATCACAATCAATCTATGTTTATGTCGCTTCCTCTGACTGTGTTGCGTGCTATCGTGACAGCTCTTCCGCTTCTTCCGGCCCTCGCCGTTCGTCCAACTCTGTGAATGTAGTCCTAAGAGCGTCTGCTGAGATCTCGCTGAGAAGCCCAGGAAGCCCACAGCCCGCTCCTTGGAGTTTTTGGGAATGTCGTAATTCACCACCTCAAAACAACAGGAGACAGAGAGCTCTCTCTGCGCAAATAAAGAGCGCGGCGACTGGCACATGGAAACCTCGTAAGTTTGCGACCAAATCTACTGACGGAACATCCAATCCTCGCGAGGCCACATCCGTGCACACCAGGATCCTTTGCTCTTTGGCCTCGAGGCCGCGGAATGACAACCAAAGCAATCGAAAAGCAGCTTATGCACGAGGTTGGACGAAACTCAAACTTCTTTCGGGCCAGGCCAGGTGCATGCAGAGAGCACGAATGCACAAGACACCCTGCCTTGAATCCGCTGAGTGCCCCAAGTCTCTGCGCCTGCCACATGGGTATGCGGGGCCCCGTTCTCAGCTCACCCGACTCTGTGCCTGGCTCATTTGTCCATGGAGGCAGATGGATTTCATGCCCATGTGCCTCAACTCGCAGCTCTGAAGTTCAGCCTGCGCCTAAGGCTCACAGCAAGGGCGCCTCAAGAAAACGGAGAGCCTTTGTGCTCCAAGGCATGTGTCGGTAAAGACCATGACCTGGCGCTGCGTCAAGGGGTGCCCCCGTTATTGGCACGTAGAAGCAACATTAAGACCACAAGCCTTCCTGATCGCTCCAAGGGACTTCGCACTTCGGCACCCTGTCACCGATCGAAACAGGCCCGCGAGGCCGCGTAGTGGATAAAGTGAGCCACCAAGGCTGCAAAGTAGGTGTGCTTAAACCTTTTTGCACATGCTTCGGAGGCTTTGCTTTGAAGCCTCTTTGAGATTCTTAGCACTTTCAGCCTGCTAAGTTCGGCGCTTAAATGGGATCAGCATGAAATTCTGAACCAGCCCGGCCTGACGGACGTGCAAATCGGTTCCAGTGGCTTGCATGAACACGAAACTTGATCATGCAACCTACTGCTGGCTCGCTCTTGCAGTAGTCAGACACTGCAGCTGACGGGTCCGGCCGCTGTATCGCACTTGGAACTCACCTCCACCTGCCCAAACTGCACAAGACTTTGCCGCTCCGAGCCAGGCTTGGTCCGCTGCCTTCACCGGCTTCTTCAAGCTTGCGCGCTGCAGCTTGGAGACCTGCGGGAGCCGGGAGCCGTGTCTCTCACGTCCCCGGGCACGGCACGCATGAACCCCCACCTTTGAGGTCATCGTGGCCGAGAAGAGAAAGGTGTTTCTGTCTCTGGGTACAACCTGCCGGTGCACGACCACGTGGTCAGCAGATAGGACAGTAGCAAAACCTGACTTGACTGCGGCGTGATGCTCACAGGCGCAGTCGTTTCCGAGCTGTTCCGCCGACTTGGTCGAGCAGCAGCCTCACCCTCATTCTCGGTTTGTATCTTCGTACCGTTTTGGGTAAAGCAACATGTTCCGGGCAAGAATGCTTGTGGAGGGGCCCGCTTTCAACTTTGTTGAATGGGCGAGAATCAATCCATCGGAAACAGCAGTGCTGGACGCATGCTGCTTTGAGAAAAGTGTAGGAAAAACAAAAATTCAAAATCATGCACCTAACTGAAGACATTCTCCATGCGGCTTCTTGCTGGAGTACAAGGCCTTCGGCACGGCCATCATTGGGCCTGCTGTGCTGTCTTTCTCCCGTCAGCCGCTTGCTTCGTCACTGGTAGCGCGGGATGAGCGGACTTGCAAGGCTGGCCACGGCATCGAGCCAACTGCCTTCAGCCTCCGCCTCATCACGCGCCTCCTCGGGAACAAGAAAGCACACAGGAGGCTGAGCTTGGAGATCGGGTGCCACGGCCTCCTGTGCTTCGCGGAACTTCATAGTCCGGCTTGGAATCCAACCGCCCATGAAGTCGTCAAAGTAATACCATCGATCTGGGCGCAGAGGGTGTCAGGTGCACAACATGCCAGAACTGACGAAGAACGCCACAGGTGCAGAACCTTTCACCGCGCACGCCACAGGAAGGTGAAAAGCTATCAAGATTGAGAGCCCGACTCGCATCCTTAGCTGCCGGGCCGTGTATGATCCAGTGATGTTCATCTCGATTGCTTCATTCGATGAACTTGCTTGCAAGTGTGGCTTGGGGCAAATATGTCGAGCTTGCTCAAGGTCGGACTGGAACGCGTCTACCCATTCAAGCATCCATCAATGCATCCATCCGTACATCCAAGTACGCACCTATGTCTTTTCCGTTCAGGCTACGTGCCTGTGGGTGTGTCTCAGTATAGCTGTCAGCCAAATCTGTCATGACAACATGGACTTGTATTCGAGGCATGCTGTCTAAAACTGCAGACAACGATGATAGTCCCTCTTTGCATACGCGGAACGTTGCTAAACATTGGATTGAAACGGTGGGTCTAGAATGAACAAGCAGGGGTGCTTTTGTCATTGTATGGTTGGTCAGGGGGGTACCTGCTTCGTTAGTCGTGTCCCAGCCGTGGCTGTTGTGCTACCTGGCAGATTCATGGTTGGCCTATGGGTTTAGCCCTTCAGATGACTTTGTTCATCGATTGCGGCAGTTTCGTGAAGTAGCTGACGCTATACAGCTATTGATGAAAATCACCGATGCCCGGGTAAGTAAGCACAGTGCACGCGCTCCGTGTAGCTCATCCCTGTGCGCTCAGAAGCTGTCTGATTCTCGCAGGTAACGACCTAGTTTCGCTGACACCGCTACCTTAGTCAAGCTTGGTGAGTTGTCCCGAAATCTGTGCGACCTGGCAGCGACAGGGGTGTCGACGCCGGCCTCACTGAAGATTACAGGAACTGCTTCCTGGCCCAAGCCGTGTGCGACGCCACCAGAGTTCACGATCCACCTGCAATCTTCCATGCCACAGCCCCAACTTCAGGATGAGAGTTCTCACCGCTGTGCACAAGCCAAGCCGCGTCCGGTTCGTGCTGGAGTACCACAGCACAAACCTGGTGGCAGCTCACGCTACGCCTTCGGCTTACGACATAGCAATCCTTTCATCGCCCACAGATAGCGCCAGCCTATGCGTCTCGTCGCCCTGCACGTGTGCTACATAGGAGGGAGCGCCGTTTACAGCAGCATCCGCCACGAAGGGAACGCCTGGCCGCAGGTTGCACAGAGTGGGAGCATGCTTCGGATGTGTTCTTCAACCCTTCTCTGAGCGACCGAGCAGCCTGAAAGGAAACTCAGCTCTTCCACCGCCCCCGACAGCTCGATGGCCTCCCGTGCCCTGAGCTCACACAGGCTCGATGCGAGACGAGCAGAGCGGGCAAGGATCTCGTACAAAAACAACACCGGACCGAGCACTTCTTATAACGGAACATACACTGACACCCCTAAACCCTAAGGGCCCCAAGATGCTTCCGCCCCGTCGTTAAGTCCCTGCAATTTCTGCCAGGCTGCTGGATGGCAGGCTCCAAGAAGTGGTCCTCAGACCTCGAGCAACGGAAGACTTGACACACACACACCCACACACACATATATATATATATATATATATATATATATATATACACCAACAGGGGTCTTAAAGCGCAGCGCAGCAGCAGGGCATCGCCGCCCCCCCGCAGCGCTGGCGCCTGAAGAAGGAGTGAAGGCCGCTCACATGCTGCCCGCGGATTGCTGGACCACGAGGCCCTCAGCGACGAGCCTGCAGGCTCTTGCGCTTGAAGTGGACACCGGCCTCAGCCTGCAGAGACGTCGGACACACACCGGAAAGGGAGGGCAGTGGTGAGCTACGTTACCGGGACGGGACCTAAGGACCTAAGGCCCAAGGCCTCGTAGGCTTCCAGAGGTCGCTGACTTCCGAGGCCAAAGGCATCGCCGCTGGATCTCAGGCCGCCTGGCACCGGGCGCGCACAGGGCACTCTCACAGCGCGGAGGACAAAGACTGCAGTGACTGTGCTGAACAGGGCGGAATGCTGACTAGCCATGCCACGACTTGCGCATTGCTTCACAGGCCTGACCTGCTCTGTGAAACCCGATGACGCTGAGAGATCAGGAATTCCGTGATGATAAAGCCGACGCAAAAAAATGGCATGGGCACTAGCAGGCTGCATGTGCAGAAACACTCGAGATCAAAAAGCCTGAGAAGCCAAAGCAACACAACCCCCTCCCGGCAACGAGCGGCAAGTTAGATCCCAATGCCCGACCTGGCAACGGCCACGCTCTGTCGTCGCCGGGCGCGCTGCCATCCAGCAGGCCGTGAAGGCGGCACTGCGACGCCTTCCAACTTCGGGAATGCGGAGACGGCTTCGAACGTCGATTGGAGGGTTCCGAGCTCTTGCAGGCAAGTTGCCTTGAGCAGAGAGGCGAAGAGTGCCCTGACGGAGCCGCATGCGACAGTGATGGACTGATAGACCGACTACACCACCTGAGAAAGCAAGCTTGCCAGGCCTGTTGTCCTTCCAGTACACTCGGCGGTAATCCCTTTCCCAAAGATGAAAGAACAGGTTCTCTTTGGGAGCATAGACATCCTTTGCACGAAAGTGGAAGAGGCCAGCGACGCTCCGCAGTTGCAAGCACGAGAAGTATCCTATCAAAAGCTCGTGGCCACTTTCGAGCTTCTACCTGCTCTGTCCGAGTAGCCCAGCCATGCGTGTAGAGACGGACGGCCATCGATATCTCTTCGCCAAAGAACAGCCTTGGGCAGAGCACTCAAGGCAAGGCTTCGGTCTCCACGGTCTCCAGTCATCGCGACGAATTCTTTGCTTCTAAAACCAGGTCATGGTACATCTGGAGCTGCGGATCGTATGGCACCTCGCACAGGACCTCTGACGAAGAGAACGAGAACTGGGCGCCCCAGAAGTAATGCTTCCTGGCTCAAAAGACATGTCAAGTGAGCCTTGTGCACTCGGTGCATGGCGAGTCGGGGAGGCGGGGCCCAAAGCTGCCGCAGAGAGGCGTGGGCTCAGGAAGCGGTGCCTTGAGCTCCCTCGCCTTGATCAAGAGAATTCCATCCGAGTCGAAGGTATTCGCACAGTTCCTTAGATCCCGCTGCTTGGGGCGACGGCCAGCGGCTAGCGAATGTAGAAACTAAAGAGTTTTCTGAACCACTGTACTAACTTTAACCACGACTGAAGACAGTTGAGCTTCATGCTCACCGGGACGTTGCCTTTGGGAATCTCGGAATATGGTGTGCCTTCGCCACCGCTGCTTCCCAGATGCACTGGAGCGCAGCTCTGAAAATGCTTTCAAACGACCGAAGCTGAGTTTGGCGAGTTGCCCAAGGAGTAACCAGGTCCGTAAGTGCAGAGTACTGGCTTCTCCTCAGTACAAACATGGCAAGTCGGTTACAGTAGCCAGTAACCCTTTGTTTCGAATTTGGCCTGCAGGACCTGCCTCAGTCATGTCAGCATCTTGAAACTGGATCATGTCTTCAAACCCTGCCCCCCTTTGTGCAAAAGAACCTTGTGAAAGAGAAGCTACCCGACGACTGCATCCCTCGTCTAGCATTGATAGGAAAATGATGGCTATCGGCCTGCTCAGACTCCAGGTGGAACAAGCGACTAAGCTGTAAACGAGCGGCTGAGTGCCTGCCACACCAGGCGAGCTCTTCGCGTGCTTTATCATCCCAACCTGGTCAACAATTGCACTCGCCGTGTTAGCCCTAGACAGCTCCTACTGACCTCGAACGCGACTGACGCCATCACAAATTCAAGAAACGAGAGCAACGACAATCCAAGTTCGTGTTGCCGAGAGACCCGGCACAAAGCGCATGTGGCTGTCCAGTTGCAGGTACAGCTCCTCACCGCTCCAAAGCAGCCTTGCGAGCTCCACCCCTGAACTGAGTCAAGCGCGTACATGAAAACGTATGCACATAGATTAATAAGCGTACATACATATACACATATGGACATACGAGTACATAAGAAATATGCACAGATACAGACACGTATACCAAAACCTCTGGAAGTTCCGGTTCGAAAATGTCCGACAACAGATCACCTGAACCACATTTGATGGAACTAGAGTGACTAGCCGTAACGTGCAGCTTGTAATACTGTAGTCATGACAATGGCAGCAGCTCCGAAATGATGAAACGACCTATATTGGCACAACCAGAAATTCAGAAACTGCTCCACGTCCTGGCTTCGGTGATGCCAACATTTATGTCTACAGTTCCGATCTCACTGAAAGCATGTGTCCGGATCAATCCGGTCCCCCAATGCCGTGAAACACAATATCAAAGCCGTCTTGCATGCTTTTCAAGCTTGGTCACTGCGCCAGGTACCGTGCCCAGCAGGGCCCACGGGCGGCCTGGAAGCTTTCAGCCATGAGGCGTATGAGGCATTCCCAGCATCTGGCCGTCTCTTCCAGGCAACAGGACCAGACTAGACGAGCTTTTGCCAATAGTCCACCGGGTAAACTAAGTGGAGCCAAACATTCTTCTCGACCTGCTGTTGGAATTTGTCTGTGCACAGTTCAGAGGCTAGCTTAGCGAGGTTTGAATGAATCCGCAGCGCAAAGAGCCCTCGAAGTTGCCTTGCCTCCGGGGTCATGCGTAACGACCGAATGCGACCGCCCATCATCTCCTTGGCAGAGCAAACAAACTACGGATCTACCGACATGGATCTGATGCAACGCACGTCTCAGATCTTAACCAAGGAGGTATGCTGGCATGGGTGCACAGCTGCGCCGAACCCAAGCCCAGCACTCAAGGATGCGGTGACTTTTAAGCACCTGCACACCTCGACCGGCTGGCAGCTGCAAGGCTACAAGTCATCACAAGCCACCTGGTTCACACTCTCGTTGCTCGTCCGGTATTGAGCGAAGCCATTTCAAACACTCCAGCCCCGCGCATCCTGCTTGCAGGCGTGACCAGCAACGTCCAACCTCCTTGCAACTGTGAAAGCATCGCGACCCTTCCACCGGCAGCCCTCTCCGTGATCTGGTTTAGACGTTCGGAGGTGTGGGCGGTAGGAGAGTTTGGCTTTAGGGTCTCCGTCTCCGCTAAGCTTAATGCCTCATGCACTGGGTCCACAAAGTCCACAAAAGTCACTGTTCACCAATGGACACCCAAAAGTCGCCGAAGTGATATCCACCAGGCGGGCTTAGGACTTACTTCAGTAATACATGTTACACGGCTGTCCACGATGTCGATGATGCCCGAGGCAATGCACATCCCCACATCCATGGGCGGCAATCTATTTATCCGCTTCTCTGTAAGAGGAGGGTGGTGGGGGCGAGAGAGGGGGGGTGGCTCCACGGAGCTGTCGATGATTGGCGCCAGTGATCTCGCGTCGGCCGATAGCCCGGGCAGACATGAACGATGTCCCCGCGCTGGATAGACCAAGTTGACTCAGCAGTGTGTTGCCGCTGTTGACGATAACCGCTAGGTAGTCCATACCAACTCTAAGTCTGGCCAACTTTCAGCTGGTGAAGGCTCTCCTTCGTCTTCCTCCTTTGTCACTATCACCTCAGGTGCATCGTTGGTCACCGGCTTCACCATCGACGTCGGAAGCCACGGCATCGCCTTCACTTCCGGCACCGGCATGGGAAAGGTCTAGCAACTGCCAACTTTTCGGCTCAACCCTCCCTTTCAGCTGCGTGCCCTTTTCTTGACCGCGGAGCCCATATGGCTTGCTCAACCTGGCAGGCTACATGGGCTCCGCGATCAAGAAGGCCAGACTCTCCTGCATCAGCCATGCTCAGGCCATGTGATGCCTGGCTTTCTGGCTGTGCGAGGTTGCACATGTCAGCATCAGCACGGCTTTGAGAGCCGTATTCCTCTGCTTTGGCACTACGACTGGGTACTGTGATACAGTGGTGCAGCCCATGTGCGTTTAATGTTCGCTGATCGCGTCCCCCAGGCGGGGGAAGAGGAGAGACCGGGCCAGGCCCTAGCCCACTAACTCTGCGTGATGGCTCCGGGGAGAGCTCGAAGTTAAGCTCCACTCTCCATTCTTTCCGCCTGGCAACAACGTGGATCCAGGTTGCAAGCTCCAGCGAGGGAATATGAGTGAGATAGTGGAAACAGTCGCCAGACCCTTGTACGGCGAAGCACGACTTCTGGCGTCCTGCACACTTGCTGGATTTAGAATGCTGTCTGGCTTGGTAGCGATTACTGATTTCGTTTGACCACGACGCGGTCAAAGCTGTCACTCATCGTAGCGGATGACAATGTCAGCTAAGCTTTGTCCGCGGAATTTGGCCACCACCTCCTCGTCTCGTGCCCTGGCCGTAACAATTAGCTGCTGAAGAGGAAGCACATGGGGCAGCTGGCGCTTCGCCAGTGCCTCTACGCGGCTCGGTATCCCGAGCCCAAAGTCGCTGTGTCCGTAACCGCACAGCACCATAGTGTGATGGCTTCCCAAGAGGCCAAGGATGACTTTCGCACAAACGAAGTCCTTCCAGCATTGGGCGGGGAAGATCTGTCGCCCTCGCGTAGGGACTTCCCCAGTCTCATGCTCGGAAACTGGCGCCCCAGCGATCATGGCAGCAAAGAACCGAAAATGATCTTCAAGAGCGCCTGGGCCCATGAGCGTGTGTAGTTCTTCCATTTCAGTCACCTCAGGCAGGCACTGCCGTGACTGAGGCTGGTATCGATAACAACTTGCTTTCGCCGAGATGCATCCACGGATCCTCGGACTGCCTCTCTGGCTTCAGCTCGACTTGGAAAGCCCGCAACAAGCCGCATCTTTGCTTGTGCAGCAGCTGTAAGTAGAGGCTCGTAGAGCCCGATGTCCTCAGCCCGGGCAAAGCAAGGAAGGATCAGATGCTGCCCTCACTGGGCCACCCAGATGCGAATTGGAGCAACCGGCATTGAGCCCTGCGCAAATTCACCATTCTGGGCTTCATACTCAGCCACAAGCTCACGCGGATCGTCCTGCCCCCATCCTCGAAGCAGGCTGGAATCTTCAGATCATGTGCTGCAAACAGGCAAGGCGACAACAGGCAAAGCCGCCCAGACTCGATCCAGAATGTGCTGTTGTTGGGCGGTGAAGTGCTCCAGCACCAAAGCAGTCGGAGTTGCTGGGTTCGCCTCGTGTCACTGTTGGAGACGGGTCAAAATAGAGATGAAAGGGATGCTACTGTACCTGGCCTCCAGCCACTTTTGCAAGGCTTCAAGCTGTGCGGCACATACTGCAGGCTCTTCGTGACCTGAGACAGCAGTGAGGTCTGGCAATCAGACCATGGAAACAAACTTGCTGGATCAGAGAGGCAGGGCTTGTATCATCTGCAAGGTCGATTCACGTGCCAGCTGCATCTCTTGTCACACTTACTACATTCTATAGGCAGGCCCAGTTTGGATCCAAGCAGGGGACGCTCTCCGAAGTAGACCAGCCGGCGACCCGAAAGTCGGTCCCGGTCCCAGCCGTGGCCCTCGGAGTGCCAGCCCGCACCTGCAGAGGTGACAAACGCTCACAACCCTGTGGCGGAAGCACAGTCGTCAATACTCCGAGGACTCCGATGTCCTTGTGCTGTAGCTGGTTGCGGTTTCGTGGTTGTGCTGACTTTAATAACCATACAGATGATCCAGGCAGTGATCGTCGCCATCGCCGTCGTCGTCGTCGTCGTCAAACGCCTTTGAGAAACCTGAAAACATCGCTTGTCGTCCGGGCTTAAAAGCAAGCGAGCCACCTGCGGATGTCGAACCGCGTGTCCAGCCGCGGCCGCCGATCCGCAGAGACAAGGGCACCCGTCTGCAAGCCCCAACCAAAGAAGTTCCGATCGCAGGCATCTACGATGAGCCCAGGAAAATTCTTGAGCCGATCTGCCGGAAGCCCTGCACACATCGCTCTGCAGAGTCCTTGTGCTTACATCGTCTGCGCTATTTAGTTCCCGGTCAAACCGTATCCTTCTATCCTGGAGCCGAAGCCTCGAGGCATGGTTCCTCCCTGACACTGGAAATTCCAGTTTCTGACTGACGCCTCTTCCCCTTTCCCTGACAAGGCCGGTATTATGGCAAGGCTCCCAGACGGGCAAGCTGACATCATCAGGCAGCTCCAGATGTTCGACCACTCGATCCTAAGCTCGTCGACAGCTTCAGAGCCGTGATACTCTGAACTGTCGAACCGGTGTGCCGTGAGTGCAAGCACTGCCTGGAAGAGGCACCTCCGCGTAGCTGCTGAGGTTCCACAGATTCGCCAATCTCAGCAACATGAAGTGTTGGCTGCACACAAAGCCAAAATCACTCCCCCTCCTCCCACTGCTTCTGCAAGACCAGTGGCTCGTCCATGTCCAGAGGCTCCAGGCCGCTCCCAGGCCCAGGCCCCTGCCAGACCTTGCAGACTCCACTCCAGGCCAATGCTCGAGCTTTTTGCCGTGGCTTACACTGGCAGGAACCTCAGAAGTGCCACCGCGCAGCTATTCCAAATCGAATTTGCTCCGGCCGCGAAGCCGCGGCAATCAACGACCTGAGCATCAAGAATCTTCGCACATCAGGAATCTTGTTGACAGAAAAGCCTACAGACTTGCACTGAAGCACCACTGAAACCACGCGACTGCATAGTGGCAGGCAGCTCTGGGTCCGCATAGGCGGCTATAGAGACAAAGATCTGCCCATCCTCAGCGGAGTCTGGCCGGAGGCCGGTTTGAAGAGATCTGCACCGCCGCTGCCCAACTCTGCAACGAGCTGCTTTGGCCACTTCGGCTGCGGCACCGCCGGCCGCACGTGCGGGAAGGCCTCGAAGGCATCAATGCCACTCTCCCCGATCAAGGCCCCTTTCCCGCATGTCGCGTCCTTGCCTCGCGCCGAGGAACTGCCAGGCCTCGCCGTCCAGGCATTGACGAAGGAGATGCTCCAGTGCCTGAGCTTCTTCATGCCAGAACGGAACGCGTCCAGAGGAGGAAGCCTTGCTGAGATATCACAAGTTGTGCTGCCAAAATTCGCGAAAATCCCGCAGGCCGCAAGAAAAGCGGCGAAAATTGTTCGAGACCTGATGCAGGTGGCTGACAGCAAGGACTACTCACTGCTGTGCTTCTGCAAATGCAAAAACAGAAAGACCTCCCGGGCGTCCGCATCGATCCCCGGGGACCCCAGGCCATGGCAGCAAGCGAAAGTGGAAACAATTCAACTGCCTGGGTCGCTATGTGCAGTCTGTGCAGTGTAGGAGAACAGGAGAACTGCTGACTCTCTTCCGTGGCATGCCGTGGCACAGCTCATGTGAACGGACAAAGCCACCCTGCCATCCTGTCACAGGCCTGGCAGGCAAAAAAAAATCAGCAGGCTTCGTTACCAGCAAGCAGACGGCACGAAGCTTCAGCAGTTGCGCTGTCGGAGGTCCAGTTCTTTTCACTCGGGCGCAGTAAACCACATTGTTAGGGCATAACGGTCATGTTGGGAAGCCAGCACCTGGTGTGCCAGGTCCCGACAACGGAAAAGTACTAGGGAACCGCCTCGCGGCCAAACCTTGGATAGACATCACAGTATCAGCCAACGTCTGCTGACCCCGCCTCCCTTGACAAATTCCCAAAAACAACTGAGACCACGGCATCTACGAATCCAGAGTCACCACCGCTCATGTCTTTGGAGCGGAAGGCTCGAAATGCACCGGCGTAGGACTCCTGTTTCGCAGATGAAAACTGTCAGCAGATGAATACTGGCAGCAGTGGCCCACAGCTTTCAACACTGAATGCAAAGAGGCTCCTTCCATTCCCGCTCATTCAGATAGAGAATGGCAGTGAATCGCCTGCAAATCTTCATTCTATGCACACACATGGCTTTCGTGCTCATGAAAGCAACCCATCCTTGATGAGATCATCTGCTTCTGGTCCAAAGGCATGTCCACGTCAAGGTCTGCCATCGAGGACCCGTCCGTGTGCGCAGCATAGCCTGATGAGCCTTCAGCAAAGCAAGCGAGCTGTGCATGTGGAGTGGGGCCGACCCTCTTGCCGTTGACCGGGCAGATCTCCGCCAGGCGAGAGCAAACGGCGACCAGGAGATCGATGCCAGCGGCCATTCCACGAAACCCATGCAGTTCGCAGGAACTTCTGTCGATCAAGCGATAGGAATCCTCGCGACCTTCTTGCCATCTGTTCCTTACCAAGACTATGGATGCCGCTGTGCCGGCGGCATTTCCCTTGCAGATTCCAGGCAAGAGTCCAGTAGGTGGAAGGCTGCAGTATCTTTCGCAGCACTTTCGCCTTGCAAAGCAGTTGAGGCCACCGTTGTAGAGACGAAAATCTTCGGGATTTGGGCCTCCTGGTGCAGCTGGTCGCTGAACCTGGGCCCCAAGATGTTGTCGAGGCAGACCAAGCCGCCAAAGTCGCCTCTCGGCGCTCAGCGCATCGAACTCTCGCTGTCTGTGCTTCAGCCGACATCCACTGCAACCCCCCCTTCTTGCGCCTGTGGAGAGCTGCTGGACTACCTCGGCGTCGAGGGCAAGGGCCGCTCTTTGCGCCAACTCCTTTCAGCGCTCAGGGCTGTGGTGCCACACTGCTTGGGATCGGGTATCCTCTGCAACACTGCCAGTGTCGAAGGTCACGAAATCATCGAAGCCGTCAGACATGCGCCTCGCCGATGCATTCCCGAGATTTCTCGGTGTTTCTTGCTGTATCAAGGTCCATGTTCACATGCTCTGCTGGAACAAACCCCCAACTTGCTTTTCCAATCGAAAGAAAAACGACATCTGCAGTTATGAGGACACTCCACGTGAAAAAACCGTTCCACCCTCTTTGCGAAAGGCACATCCTGCCTCACGAACTGGCGCTTGCCCTGGACATCCTCTGCCACAGCTGCGAAACTGCAGGACTCTCTGGCACCTCGAATTCGCAACATGAGATTGCTGGCCGGGGTGAGCCAGGCAGCCCACTGCTTGACTAGAAAACCAGCATGGCACGGGGGATCAGGACGTACAGAAGCACCGTAAGACCTGAGTCACATGATTGGGGGGTGCCCTTGCTTTCTGGCTCTAGTCGCACACTGTCTCCACGCAGCACACGCACCAGGGACATGCTGAGATTTGTCAAACGATGGGCTAAGAGGGCCATGATATCAGCTTTTTGCACTGGATGTCTCGCATTGGCTTTCCCAGGGTTTTGATTCTAGAAGTGCGGTTGGGCACGAGGCCGCCAAGCCGGGGCGCCGGCTTGCGAAACTTGCGAGGCGCTGCTTGTGGCGCAAGCATCGTGCCATCGCGAGGACGGTGCCCCGGGAGCTAAAGGTCAGGCAGGGCTAAGCAAGCTGTACTGGGGCTCTCAGATGAGAAACTGGGCTTCCTCTGGCCGAAGATTGTGTTTGCATCTTCGTTCACACGGTTTCAAGCCATGGCTTCTTACAGGAGAAGCAATCCTCGCAACAGCTATGCAACGAGCAAACGCGAGAGAGAGAGAGAGAAAGAGAGAGAGAGAAAGAGAAAGAGAAAGAGAGAGAGAGAGACAGATAGAGATAGAGAGAGAGAGAGAGAGCGAGAGCGCGAAAGAGCAGTGTAAACATGTGCTGAACATGCACGACCTCGTGGCCAGTAACTACGAAGTTTTCGATGTTCAGCAGCTCGTGGCGGACGAGTGGCAACAAACAGTCTGCTTAAAATGTGCAGCATAAGGCCCACAAGTATCACGCAGAATCTGCCTGTAAAAATACTGCGGAGGCGCGATCTGTAAGATCCGAAACATGGAACCTTGCCATGTGCCTGTACGGCACACTGCCTGTCGAGCTGCTGGCAATGCAAAGCTGTTCGCAGGGGCATCACGACAGACAGACCGCTCGTGGCAAACGGGTTCCATAGTGCTGTGAAGCTGCTGCGATCTTACACATCAGACGAGGATGACAGCCGAACGCAGCTTCGCCGCCAGAAACAGTGGTGGCAGAGGCAGTGCCGACACTAGCACCGACACAAGTGCCAGGCTAGACATTATTATCTGACATTATAAAAGTGATCTTGAGAAAGTGTGTTGAATTTTCGACAGCTCTTCCGTCAACATGCACGTGCCGACATCTAGCAAGCTTCTGCCAGTTCGGCTTCGATTCTTCCTTGGATGAGTTGTGGACACAGCGTGGACAGCACGAAACAGGTGCTGCTGGAAGACAACGTAACACATAGCCTTAACTATTGCGTCTTTCGCCAGTATTGGCCAAGAGCAAGCGGCGGAGCTCTGCCAGGCCCGGCAGCCGCAGAGGCTGAGCTGCAATGCCCTGTGCCAGAGCACCCAGACCCTGGCCGGCAAACAGGACAAGGCCACACAAAGCACTTTCTCAGAAGGACACAGCAGGCGCTTCAAGGTGGCCGGACATGCTTTGACTCTGCATTCCCGAAACATGGAACGACCATTTCTGCTGGTGTGGCAGACTCTTTGCCCACCCAGTCCAAACCGCAAAACAAAAAAACGTTGACCAACAAATAACATGGTTAATAACCCATACGCCCATAGGTGTAAACCAGAACAGAAATCAATATTAATCCTAAGGAACACGAAGCAAAGAAACAAAGCAGGTTCAAGCTGTTGAAGAGGAAGGTGCTGCAGGAGGGTCGAACATCACGTTGCTTGGCAAGACATTCTGATCAACTACTTGAAACGCGAACGGTTGGTTAGAGCACTTCTGTGAGCAAGCCTCAGAAGCTCTTGAAGGATCCAAGTGCAGGGGTACAAATTCTTGCACGGGACTTCCTCAACCGGCCTGATGAACGTCTTGGTCCCGCATCTCAGCCTCGTAGTGTGCAGGTGGGAGCAGTTTCCGAAATGCTGACAAGCTGTATCGTCCGAGCGGGGGACCTGTGAAACCCAAACCCAACCTCGATCACCAGCCCAAAAACTCCGTATCCGGCCTCGCTGATGAGCAGCCGCAGTTGGAAGGCAACCGTGCGCGTCTCCTTCCAGGCTCATGAGGGCACCGTGTCGAAACGCTCTGGGCAAAAGGGAAAACCAGGGAAAGCGCACACGGAACTCGAAATAAATCTACTCCCTTCTTCCCATCCCGATTGGCGGCTCCCAGGTGGCTGCGGGGTACTCCAGGCCGTGCTCAAAGGCTGCTGGGTTCCCGACCTCAGGCTGGAAGGCGCGTTGCCGTGCTCAACTGGGATCGCCTTTCGCTTTCGGCCGAGTCACGTAGACATCCCCCGGCACCTGCAACTCCTCGTGGATCGCGGGCTCCAGCTCGAAGGGCTGTCTCAGCTTCATCTTCAGAGACCGCTGCCCGTGAACGGAGACCGCCATGTGGAGCGCCGAATTGGGCGCATCCACATGCCAGGCAATGTCATCTTGGCCCACTGGTTCGCCCCAGTGGATCTGCACTGCAAGGTCAGCGAAAGCACGGCCCTGCTCCAGGAGCCGCCGCAACACGGAGTTTTCCGGGCAGTCGGCTGCCATGCGCGCCAGGAACCCGGCGTTGGCGCGTCGCACGCCTTCGCCGAAGGCTCGCAGGCGCAGCGAGGCCGCCGGCTTGAGCATGTCTCTGCCGCAGCGCGGGTTCACGGAGGGAAAGGGCTCGGCTCCAGGAAGGGTGTGGAAGTAGCCCTCCAAGTAATGATGACCAGGCAGATTGGGGTGGTCTACACATGGCACGAAGCCAAGGTCGTGCATGCGCTGCACATCTCCAGAAACATCGCCGCATAGAGCGTCCTCAAACAAGTGCTGAAGCACCTCAGGTACGTCCCGGTAACTTCTGTTCAACAAACGAAACTGCGGCAGCTCCCGCTGAGCCCAAACACAAGTCTCTAACCGTGGCCTTTTCCAAGTCATGGGCCCTGCCTCCTGCGAGAGCTGTAAGCTCTGAAGTCCGACGGGCCCGAGTGCTTGGAAGCTCCGGCCGGGGATCTCTTCTGGTTCCGGGAAGGAGAAGCCGAACAGCGACGGAACCTCCGAAAAGACGCTCGTCAGGGCCCTGCATGATGCCTTCGACGCCTGCGCAGAGACGATCACTAAAGATTCGATTACGCCAGCGTGGACCGGAAACAGTGAAAGAAGACCTAACACCCTAGCCCTAACACCCCCCCAAGAGCTCTAGACCAAAGAGACTGACGGAGCAGGAACGTGGAAAGAAGGCAAAACCGGTGCATCACTAAACAAATCCCTGTGCACTTAGGAATCCCATACACCGCATGGTCTTACCAAACTGTGTTAGGGAAAACACTCGATGCAGGTCTGCGAGCCTTGAAGCTCGGGTTTCGGAAGTTGCAACCCGTCACGGCACCTTCCCGGGCAGGCGGCGGTAACAGAACCGACGCGCCACGTACTGCTATGCATTTCTCCTGGTCCCATGTGGAAGCCGAAGGCACGAAGTTTCGGCCGCAAGGAGGCGAGCAAGCAGCCAACTCCGAAAGCATGCAAGCAAACTTGTCCGACCTCGCTTCATGGGATAGGTGAAGTCAAGCCATACAACTATCAAACGGCTTAAAAAGCATCTCCTGCTTGCCTGGGACTGAGACAAAGCCAAGGGAGAAAACTCAACTCAACTGATGCATAATACATGCCAGGCACGGAAGAGGACAGAAGCAACCCAGTGAGCGCCACTGGCTGCTGCAGGGACAAGCCGGCCCGGCCGCATGGAAGCACAGCGAAAGCGGCTCCTGTAGGGTTTGCAAAGATTTGACTTCTTCACGAGGACGCCCCTTCTTGTACACCGCACAACCCATGGCAAGCCCCGCTTTACGGAGTCCTCGGCCGAGGCACACGAAGGCCAAGATCAGACCCAGGCCCACGAGGAGACTGGGACCCCTGGCACGCAAGCACAATGCTAGACTGCCATAATCTGCTCTATGAAGATTCTTTCTAGCATTGATGCCTCCTTGTCAGCATGGCTGTAGCCACGCGTGGCATGGCAACGTCGGCAAAAGCACTCAGCTCGAGCCAGAACGGCTTTCAGAGGAAAGAGTGCAGCCGGAAGCTTGCTCCTTGAGTATTTGTGCAAAACACAGCGTGACATGTCATGGTAGCTTGTTCACACTATGAGCCGCGATGCACCCCAACTGGCACTGCAAAGGCTCAGACTCAGGAGCTCGATTGGGTGCCAGCCCCAACACGCAAATGCACCATCTCTTCCAGTTTAAAGTGGTCAGCCTCGAGGATCTTGTCCAAGGCTTCGTCAAAGTCCATGGAGAGCAACCGGTCCGCCTGGCATGCACAGCTTCCACGCGGGGCTTTAACCTTTGTCTGCCCTTGCGCTGGGTCTCATTTCGGCCGTGACAGCTACGCCAATCCGGAACTACGGCATGCGATTGGATCCTTTGCCATCCTTTGCCTCAACATGGGCCTCCTGCTTGGTTTGGGGCACGGTTTACCTTCCTTGGGCCTTATTTGGCCTGTTGGCTCTGTTTGGGACTTCTGCCGGCCTTTTTTCCCGCCTTAACCCGCCGCAGCAATATTTTCATGGACCGGGTTTCCATTCTAGTCGCTGACTCTCAGGCTTGCTGGTGCCTTGTGCCCTTTGTGCCGCCTGTTTGTCTAAGTCCTCGTCTGTTGGGGTTGGTGTGGACCTGAACTGAAGCCGTCTTGATGCGGAAAGATGACAGCAGAGGTAAAAAGCTTGTGCAACTATACAATACAATTACTTCTTCGCAACTGGGGAATCACTCGAAAGAGAGAATACCAAGCCATACCAAACCCATGTGCGATCCAGTGCTTGGCATGAACCATTTAGCCTCGTCCATGACGAGGTACTTGATGGTTTTCAAGTGAAAGCCCTGCAACAATCGATCATGAACGTGGGTCACAATCTGGCAGCGATAGTTCTGCGGGTGCGGGCCTTGGTGTTCTCCAAGTGGTCGACGAGCCGGCCAGGTGTGGCGATGACGACGTGTGGTCGCTTGGCTAGGGCCATGGCCTGCTAGAATACAAGCAGACAAGAGGCGATCTTTGCGATGTTGCCGAAGGGGCCTGGTCGACCATTGCCAGACCACCTACCACTGTGGCAGTCTGCAGCTTGATGGTGCTGCCGATGGCCTTTGGCTGCTAAAATCGCTCTTGGAGCATGGATAAAGCAAGAGCCCGGACGCTACCTCAAACTGCTCACCGATCTGCACCTTAGCTGGAACAGAGATTGGCTCTCATGAACTTCCGAAGCTGTGAATGTTTTCCCGGGAGCCGGACGCACAGCTCACGTGTTGGAGCCAAGCAAACCGCATAGAAGCGCTGGGGGTCGTCGAGAAGTCGCTGGCAACAGCAAAAGCTCTGCACATGACAGCATTCAATCCACGAACC